TATATTCCACTGTAAGGCTATTTTTTTAATGCAGCAATGCAAATATATATATTTAAAGAAATTTACATCTGCATTTTCAAAAATAGTCTTGATTAAGAGGTAATAAAAGTGTTCTTTTGGTTAAAATAATCCAATTGTGTTTATCCGTGCTGCTTTAGTTCTTTTTAAAATTTGTGTCTTAGTAAGCGTGAATTTGTATGAACAATTTTAAATCTGTGACTTGCATGCAACAATTGTGTTGTTCTGTATAATTTACCTTCGAAAAACCTCCGTGTGAATATACTGCTTTAAGGAGCTACGCATGATCGCAGCGGTTGTTGCCTCGCAGAAGGATAGGCAGGACCATAGCTTAGAATCGGAAATGCAAGTGAAGTTTGGCCCAAGGAAGGCAACTTCAACTTGAAGTTAGTGGGTACAAATGGTACCTTAGCGTAGAGGATGCAAATAGCATCTGTAAGAAGACCTTTGAAGATTGGATCAAGCGTGCAAGGCCTATCGAAGACCAAGGGATTGTCGTGGTTATGGTGGAAAGAAAAATATCTCTCTCCAAGTACGGTAAGAGCATGCAGTCGTTGTAGTTGGCCAATTTCATGAACGGCTTTCTACATTGACTATTAAGGCACTCCTGCATGGATCCCCTATAATGCATGAGTAGTTCAGCCCACCCCGATTGGACGTCACCCGTAGGTGCAATATGCACTAAGTTAAGTTAAGTTAAGGGCATGATGGGTTACTTCCTTCAAGGGGCATTCCTTTCCAGGGCGGAATTCCGGTGCCATGCGCTGGTAGGAAGCTTAGATAGCTTAGGCATGCGCTGTAGTTGAAGCAAGTAGTTGCTACGCTTAGATAATGAGTATGGAGTTAGAAATTTTATAAATTTAAAGGATGAACTCTACTATCAAGAGAAATGACTAAATTTTTCAAAATCTTTCAAAGGAAACTTTAATCTTGTCTGTCATTTTCAAATCGACAAATTGAAACTTAAATAGTCTTCAGTTTGTCAAGACATTTGCAGTTTAGGAGCGGCGTGGCAATTACTGTTAATGTAAAAATGGATATGTTGTTTTCTTATTAAGAAAACTTCATTCCTGGGAATTTCGATGCGGCAAGCCACAGCAAAAACAGGCATAAAAAATGTTTAGTACACCAGGTCTAAGTATGCGGAATGGCTTCATATTAACCAAACTAACACGAAACATAGTTTTAATAAAAGCACATTGTTTGTTTTCTTTGATGGTTACCATGAAGACAAACCGAACGTTATCACATATGATACAAAATAGTTACACGATGGTTTCCATGTTCACCATTCGCGTTGCTATGTAGTCATCTATGTGATAATTGTCAAACTAAAACATAACTTAAATCAAGCGCTGCCGGTTGTTTGGTTAAACCATCCACGGTCCCTCGGTAACCAAACTTAACGTGTGCTTCTTCAAGTGTTCTAAATTGTTTCAAAAAATATTAAATTTCGTCTGTCTGCTTAAAATATTTTGAAGTACATTTATCTAATCCATGTCATGCAGCAAGCGCTTGCTCCAACTTTAAGCGTTAGTGGCACCGGGCGCGCAAAGCACTGAATGAAACGGTGCAAAATAGGGACTGCTAAGGTGGCGCTAGGTGCGACTGATTCGGATGTGGATTAGATAAGAAAAACACACGTTAAAGAAATTCCCATCAAATTACACAATTTTCTCGTCCAAAGTAGAAAATTGTCGAGTTCATGATCGGTTTACGTGCGGTAAAACTAAAATGTGGCGGTTTGTACGTAAGTTGTATGTACGTTAAAAATGGCGAATTATATCCATAACTAAAATACTTGAAAGATTTTTGGACTTGAAGGTGTCTTTTGAGAAATTGACGGTTTTTCTTTTTGGTATTTGCATCGTTGCAAAGGTAAGTAAAGATTTTGTTTCTAAGGGTCCCCGGGCGCGGAACTTCGGCTGAAATCCCTAATGGTTTTTCCTCTTCAGTATTCTCCAAATTCTCGTGCCGTTGTGTTCGGTTTTGGTTTATACCGTTCAGGTTTTCCATTAGGGATTTTTATTTCGGTTAAGTCATCAAAAAAACAGTGACCTTGGTGTGGGACTAAACTTGTACTACTTGTCATATACAACCATGGAACAAAAGAAATGCAATTTGAAGGCTATGGATGCTTAGCTGAGCGAACCTAGGGTCTATCAGCTAAAATTTACAGCCATCTTCACTTTCGTTAAAAACAGCGTCATGTTTAAGCAATTCTGCATTTTAGAACAGTTTGGGTGATTTCAGTTTAATCATTTTTATATTTATTTACTTAACACTTATTGTAAATGTGAAAGTTAAACTTGCATGTATTTGGGGCGTAAAGTTGGATATTTAAGCATTTTAATGCTAAACCGGCATTATAAAAAAGCTGATAATTGTTTATTGTTTGTGACTTTAAATTGTGAAGTGTAATTGAACGACAAAGCTCTTGACCTGTTTTTGTCTATTACGATCAAGCAATAACTTACCAAATTTGAGCTTCAAAATTCTACAAAGATCAAATTTTGGAACTATAAAATATTCAAAATATGTTCAATAGCCAAAATCGTCTGAACTTTCCAAGAAAAAAAACAGCCCAACTGTGGGGTATCTTCAAAGAGCGGAAAATTTAGTCTTTGGGTTCGATTCCCAATACACTGTTTTTTAGTATATGTGCAATCAAATTGTCAAGTTTGGATTAAATCCGTGTCGGATAATCCATGATATAAGGAAGGAACTTTTAAATTTTAAAGAATCTTTGCAAGAAGCAACATGTTAATCAGATTGAAGATCATGGAATCGGGTAAAGATTAAGGATTACAAAATAACAGTCCCAGTCTCCCAACGCTCTCGTCTAAATCTAAACAATAGTATGAAACAATATTGAAACAAAGCAAAGAAAAGATTTTACGTTTTATTAGTTGACTAAGTTGAGGGAAGCTTAGTACTTTCCCGTGTTTCAAAAATTCATTAAACTACGGTGAAGTAAACATATTAAAATGGCTCTTGAAAATACGGTCCAATTATCCGAGAAATACGAAGCAGTTATGGTTCTCAGTGGAGTGGGGATGCTCTAGGTTATAAGAATGGTTTGTGGGAATTCTGTTACAGTGGTACTCAAATTCATGAAGAACTAGAAAAACTCGGAGGACTTGATAAAATTGACATTAAAGGATGGAGGGTTAGTGACGACACTGTACTACACATTGCTACAGCAGAAGCGTTGGTTTCTGAATGGACAACAACGGAAGAGTTATTGAGCATTATGGCTACAAAGTACAAGAAGACATGTGCTGAGGATATGTGGGAAAGAGCTCCTGGGCAGACCACAACAAAGGCATGTTTCATGTTACGACCTCTTGAGGAAAAAGGTTACATTATTCCATTTAATGAACGAGGTGGCGGATGTGGTGCAGCTATGAGATCCATGTGTATAGGTTTGATGTTTCCTTGTGAAGGTCAAATTGAAATGTTAATTGAAATTGCTGTTGAAAGTGGAAGGATGACTCATAATCACCCCACAGGTATTCACCTTTCATAATAAAGCAACGATTTCAGATCATGTATCAATTATCAAGTCACTAATGTCTAATGTTTTGTCTATCAACAAGTGTTGCTTTGTATAAAGTTTGCTAGGTTTTCCTGTTATCTGCATTGCTTTTCATTTTAACAAACCTTTATAGTGATTTAGCTTTTCAATCCTTTTGCTTTTCTTAGATATTTTATCTTCAACTCTTCCTTCGATTACTTACTTGATCAAGCCATTACCATGAATGTTTCATATCCTTTTATCTAATATCAATTTATAAATGAAATAAAAGAAGGTTGATCTTATGTTTGCATAAGTTTATGCAATCCATCATTTTCTAGAACCACATCTCAAATGCCTCCATCCTTCTAACATTGCTCACTTTAAATGACCATATCTTTGATCCATCCCTTTTATCGCTTTTCCACATTTCTGTCTTCTAAAAACTGTTTGAATAGCCATTGCTGTTTTGCTTTAATATCTTCACTACTACAGCCATTGAATCCATGATCCATATCAAAATGCTGCTATTATGTAAATAGGGTCATCATAATGTAAGTGACCTAAGATTAGCAATCTTTAAAGATAATGATTTTAATTATAGGTTATCTAGGGTCTGTTACTGCAGCTTTATTTACAGCCTATGCTATACAGAACATGGCTCCAAAAAAATGGGGAGCAGGACTTTTAAGTGTTTTACCCAAAGTTTGGGAATACATTGAGAAGGTTGGTCGTGATGTAGAAGAAAACAAGAAATCTTGGGGGCTACTTTAAAAATAGTTGGGAGTCATATCTTAAACTACGGGGATTAATGAATGGAACCAGTGAACCAAAATTTCCAGTAAATTATAACATACCTGAACATGATGCTTTTTATAAAGATGTCAGTTATGCAGGTTGGGGTGGGTCCAGTGGTCATGATGCACCAATGATTGCTTACGATGCTTTGATGATGGCAAAAGATTCCTGGCTTCAATTGTGCTCTTGTTCAATGTTTCATGGTGGAGATAGTGACAGTACAGGAATATTGGCTGCAGCATGGTGGGGTGGTATGTATGGTATGAAAGGTGTACCCTTGGAAATTATAGGAACCTGGAATATGGTCATAGGCTTATGGAGCTGGTAAAAATTACTGAATGTATCAAAGAATATGAACAACTAACAGGATAGTATTTATTTAACAAAATTCTCTGTCATCCCAATATACTTTAGTATGTTTGTAAATCATACAATAAAAATTACTACTTGGTTATAACATAAAACAAATTACTTTAGAAATAAAGTCTAAAGAAGAATGTCAGATTCAGGGCATGGGCAGTTCTAAGTTCTACTTAGGATGATTCCTGGCTGTAGAGTAAGTTTATTGACTAGATATCAGTGAAACTATATATAGACAAGGATCATTACATCTTTAGGTTCATTTTACCTCACAAAATGCAAATTGCAAACGTTTTATTCACTACCAAAAATACCTTCTGAGGGAGAGGGCTGACTTGGCAGGTGGAAGCCTTGCTCCTACGGTCTATGTGTTAAAAATAGGCTTAACATAATTTAGAAGGCACAATTTTCTTTGAAACACGTAGCTACCAAAGTGTAACTGTAAAGCTTTGTCATATTCCCGAGTTTCATAATACAACACACCTAGATTGTTTAAAACTTAACGACATCAACCTGACTAGTTCCTAACGTTTGTTTTCGAATTTCCAGAGCTTTTCGAACTCTATAGCTTTGTCGTAGTTTCCAGTTTTTTAACACATTACCAAGATTGTTTAAAGACGCAGCGACATCAACATGATTTGGACCTAACGATTGTTTTCGAATTTCCAGAGCTTTTCATGAAACTCTATAGCTTTGTCGTAGTTTCCAGTTTCATATACACATTACCAAGATTGTTTAAAGACGTAGCGACATCAACATGATTTGGACCTAACGATTGTTTTAATTTCCAGAGCTTTTCGTAAACTCTATAGCTTTGTCGTAGTTTCCAGTTTCATTAACACAAACCAAGATTGTTTAAAGACGCAGCGACATCAACATGATTTGGACCTAACGATTGTTTTCGAATTTCCAGAGCTTTTCATGAAACTCTATAGCTTTGTCGTAGTTTCCAGTTTATAATACACATTACCAAGATTGTTTAAAGACCAGCGACATCAACATGATTTGGACCTAACGATTGTTTTGAATTTCCAGAGCTTTTCGTGAAACTCTATAGCTTTGTCGTAGTTTCCAGTTTTTATACACATTACCAAGATTGTTTAAAGACAGCGACATCAACATGATTTGGACCTAACGATTGTTTTGAATTTCCAGAGCTTTTTGAAACTCTATAGCTTTGTCGTAGTTTCCAGTTTCATACACATTACCAAGATTGTTTAAAGACCAGCGACATCAACATGATTTGGACCTAACGATTGTTTTTAATTTCCAGAGCTTTTCATAAAACTCTATAGCTTTGTCGTAGTTTCCAGTTTCATAAACACATTACCAAGATTGTTTAAAGACCAGCGACATCAACATGATTTGGACCTAACGATTGTTTTGAATTTCCAGAGCTTTTCATGAAACTCTATAGCTTTGTCGTAGTTTCCAGTTTCATTATACACATTACCAAGATTGTTTAAAGACGCAGCGACATCAACATGATTTGGACCTAACGATTGTTTTGAATTTCCAGAGCTTTTCATGAAACTCTATAGCTTTGTCGTAGTTTCCAGTTTCATAATACACATTACCAAGATTGTTTAAAGACGTAGCGACATCAACATGATTTGGACCTAACGATTGTTTTAGAATTTCCAGAGCTTTTTCATGAAATTCTATCGCTTTGTTGTTGTTTCCAGTTTCATTATACACAGTACCGAGATTGTTTAAAGACCTAGCGACATCAACATGATTTGGACCTAACGATTGTTTTTTAAATTCCATAGCTTTTTCATAAAATTCTATAGCTTTGCTGTAGTTTCCAGTATCATGGTATAAAAGACCAAGGATGTTAAAATACCAAGCTTTGTCATAACTAGATTCTTCTGATTTAAATTTATCCAATAGTTCAAGAGCAAGATCGTATTTTCCAAAATGTCTTAATTTGTCAACAAAATATTGGAAAACTTGTAAAGTGTTCATGTTGATTTTTGTCTTGTTGGTCTTTAATAATTGAACAATTTTTTCAAGATGTGGCATTAATTTGATTTCGTCGTCTCTCTCTTTAAACATGTAAAGTGCTTTAGATATTTGATCAACGTTAGTTTCCATTTCATGTTCTTCATTTGAATGTTCAGATTGATAAACAATAATTGCTTTGTGAACAATGCGATGTAGACTAATGTCATTATTTTCTGAATGCAAGAACAATGAGCAGTCCTTTAAACAAAGACATATATCTTCCTTTGAGTGTTTGGGATCAATTTCTTGAACATAAAAAACAATAATGTCTCGTGGTATAGGATCAAACGATATCACGGAAAAAAAGTTAATAACATTTGCCAATATTGAGGATTCTTCAGCATTTTGTCTGACAGCTAAAAGTGAAGCTTGTAACATACTTCTAGGATATACCGAGTTAAATTTAACAAAAGTGGCGTCCATGTTTTCTTGTTCTTCTGAAGATATTTTCTTTAAATATTGTTTCCAAGTAAATGAGCAGTTTGCTTTGTTTACACGACTGACATAATAACCAGCAGCAGCCAAAGCCAGCGGTTGACGACCTAATGCGTGTGATACTTCATTCAACAATTGATCATCAGTATTTTCATCTTTAGTGTAATATTCAACAGTTGACAACATTCTTTATCATTCATTCCACTTCTGATAGAAATATGTTTGTTAAACTCATCGTCTTGAGGTACGGCATCTGTGTTCTGGATAGTTACTATGATTTGTCCATTTATCCACATGGGATCACCAACTTGGGGGAGTAATGAAGAAATTTTGCTGAGCTGTGCCACGTTGTCTACAATGATCAACCAATTTTGCCAGAATTTTAATCGTGTGGATACTAACGATCGCAAATTCTTCACTTTGTCTGCGATGGAACAATTTTCATCTTCAAATTTTTAATCATATACTTGTCACAGTTTAAACGGTATCCAAGTTCACAGTAAGTTTTAAAAGAGATTCCTCATTTTTCCATCGAGAGTCATTACAAACGAAGTTCTATTTTTCCAATCACACGATATTTTTCACAAACCTGTCTTGCAAGTTGTGATTTACCACTGCCAGGATTACCAGTGATGTAAAATATGTCAGTTTATCATTGTTATCAATTTTTCAAGATCTTTTATAATTTTATCTCGTAATTCAGTGCGTTCAACAAAAATGATTAGGTTTTGAAGGAAGAACTTGGAACGAATTAAAACAGTTTCGATGATTTTTATTTCATTGATTTCATCGAGAAAATTTCAAATCTTGAAATGATTTTTCAATGATATTGACTATATCATCAAAATCATCATCTGAGCATTCCCCTTCATACCAATGTGCGTACTTGTTTCTTTCACAACGAAGTGCATGAACAGCATCCTTTGTTTTCTTTGTCAAGATGCTTTTAATTGAATTTGAAAAATTATTGCATCAAATAATATCGTACAGTCCCACTTACTGGTGTCTCCATCCTGATATTTTTGTTTTTTGGTCTATTTTTTTTCCTGATTCTAAAGTGCAAAATTTTTTGCCACTTTTGGGTGTATCATCCCATTCTCCATGAGATGATTTGTAATGAAAGTTCCATTGTTTGATGAAAAACGAAGCAAGTTCCTTTTGAACAACATTAATTATTTGCCTAATGTAAAATAGGTTTCTTTTTTCTCTTGATTCTATCTGCAAAAAATTGATGTATCAACAATATTGAAATCAAGTACTTTACTGGACAGTTCACGTGACTTTCCAAAAGACAGACATAGGAATTTAGATTTCTATAATCTTAGATCGTCATTTTTTGACGTCTTATATCTTTTAGACTGTTTCTAAGAATATGGTATAATGTTCTAGCTGGTAGCCTTTTCTTGAATATACTATGTAACGCTTATGGTAATGCCAATCATAGTCTATAATGCGTTTATTTAAACATAACTTAGTAAATGTATTTGTTTTGCAACAGGCTGTAACACATTATCGTTTTTTTCTTTGGCTACGAGGATTGAATGGTAATCGTAGAAACTTTTCATCAATTTTTAGAAGACCATAAACTACTAAATTAATAATCTTAGCTATCTTTGATAAATTTTACTTGAAACGAAAGTTTTTAATTTATGTTGATAAAATAGTATTTTTGGGAATCATTTACGTAAAATCAGTTGTTGAATATTACTTTTCGGTTATGCTAAACTTTTAAGAGGAGTATTTTAAACACTCTTAAAACTTTAGCATTTTAATCACATTTTATTGCATTTACAATTGTAATTTTTAACATAAAAAGAATCAAAAGTCGCACCTGCATGTCAAAGAGCTACGTCATATATCGTTTTTGAGCTTTTAGAAATGCCTTTCTGTTTTCAAAATGCTATATATATAGAGAGAAGAATGTTTGTGAGTCACCCCAATGATATGCTCAAACTGAATACGCGAAAATGTTTGAGCGCTATTTCGATTTACTCGTTGATTGCGTGCCATTTACTTTACATTTCTCTATGGTCTCTACCGCTTTACGAATAAAGTTTGTGCCATGAAAAATGTGAAGTTATTAAAATGCTTTTGTAAAAAAATTCAAAAGATTTCAACGTCATTAGGTCCTGTAAAGGATGATGTACTGAAGCATGTGTATATAGATCAACTACTGAAGCATGTGTAGATAGAAAAACTACTGAAGCATGTGTAGATAGATCAACTACTGAAGCATGTGTAGATAGAAAAACTACTGAAGCATGTGTAGATAGAAAAACTACTGAAGCATGTGTAGATAGATCAACTACTGAAGCATGTGTAGATAGAAAAACTACTGAAGCATGTGTAGATAGATCAACTACTGAAGCATGTGTAGATAGATCAACTACTGAAGCATGTGTAGATAGAAAAACTACTGAAGCATGTGTAGATAGATCAACTACTGAAGCATGTGTAGATAGATCAACTACTGAAGCATGTGTAGATAGATCAACTACTGAAGCATGTGTAGATAGATCAACTACTGAAGCATGTGTAGATAGAAAAACTACTGAAGCATGTGTAGATAGATCAACTACTGAAGCATGTGTAGATAGATCAACTACTGAAGCATGTGTAGATAGAAAAACTACTGAAGCATGTGTAGATAGAAAAACTACTGAAGCATGTGTAGATAGAAAAACTACTGAAGCATGTGTAGATAGAAAACTACTGAAGCATGTGTAGATAGATCAACTACTGAAGCATGTGTAGATAGAAAAACTACTGAAGCATGTGTAGATAGATCAACTACTGAAGCATGTGTAGATAGATCAACTACTGAAGCATGTGTAGATAGATCAACTACTGAAGCATGTGTAGATAGATCAACTACTGAAGCATGTGTAGATAGATCAACTACTGAAGCATGTGTAGATAGAAAAACTACTGAAGCATGTGTAGATAGATCAACTACTGAAGCATGTGTAGATAGATCAACTACTGAAGCATGTGTAGATAGATCAACTACTGAAGCATGTGTAGATAGATCAACTACTGAAGCATGTGTAGATAGATCAACTACTGAAGCATGTGTAGATAGAAAACTACTGAAGCATGTGTAGATAGAAAAACTACTGAAGCATGTGTAGATAGAAAAACTACTGAAGCATGTGTAGATAGATCAACTACTGAAGCATGTGTAGATAGATCAACTACTGAAGCATGTGTAGATAGAAAACTACTGAAGCATGTGTAGATAGAAAAACTACTGAAGCATGTGTAGATAGATCAACTACTGAAGCATGTGTAGATAGAAAAACTACTGAAGCATGTGTAGATAGAAAAACTACTGAAGCATGTGTAGATAGAAAAACTACTGAAGCATGTGCAGATAGATCAACTACTATAGAAATGAGAAGTGTAATTGTTATTAATTTACACCGTTTTGCAGGTGTTGTGACTGCCTAGTGTGTTTTAGCCCGGACTACTGCAGCTTAGCGGACACCTTGGACACTGACCCCAACCCTACCATATAATCATATGCCAAAACGAGCCCGCTCTCCCATACAAGCGCTTCGCGTGTCCGCTAAACTGCAGTCTAGCCAAAAAAAAACTGGCGGTCAGCTTAAGCGAAAAAGCTTTGGTGTTGTTCTGACAAGCTTTTTTCACTTGAACGAGTTCCCCCACTAGTTGTTGCCAGTTATATAGCAATGTAAATGATAAACATTGTCTCAAAGCGTCTTGTGTCATGCCTTGCCGATGCTGTATTTGTTTGCTGTACTTGATGCCCTTGTTGCCTTGACGATATCGTTTAGCTGAGCAAAGCAATTAAATCAATAAAATTCTTTTTTAGATTCAAACTAAACAATGTCCTGTTTCTATGCTGATTTTGTAAGAATTAGACATGAAATTAGCAGGAAACGCAGTAAAATGGTCGAAAAGCAAAAACGACAATAACTCATTCATAGAGATAGACAGGGAATTGTTAAAAAACTCAGAGATAGCTTTTATGTCGATGATCTAGTTTCCGGTGAACAATCCAAGAAGAAAGTAATGAGGTTGTATGAGTCAGCAAGTGAACGATTGTCTGCGGAGGATTTAGGCTTAGGAAGTGGCTTAGTAACGATGAGAATGTTTTGAAAGAAATAGAAAAGAGAGAAAGCATTTTAGAGGAAAGAAGGGCAGAATTTAATAATTCGAAAGTGGTTGATAAGCAAACTTATGCCAAAGCATCAGTTGGGGAAAATAGTATCATTGGAAGTTTTGAGAAAGTACTAGGATTGGGATGGGAGTGTAAGTCGGATCGCTTTGTATTTAGCCTCTGGAAATTGGCTGAAAGAGCAAAGGCAATCATTCCAAGTAAACGAAATATACTAAGTATACTTGCAGGATTATTCGATCCCTTAGTTATTATAAGTCCTGTTATCGTTTGTGCTAAGTTATTGTTTCTGGAGCTGTGTATTAAGCTGAATGCGATAATGAGCTGGAAGGTGACAAGAAAAAACGTTGGAGAGATGGATAGAAGATTTAGAGAGAGTCAGGGATTTAGTTGTGGCGAGATGTGTGTATGGTAATTTACTTGGTAAGGTAAAGTGTTACTTGCATGGGTACGCAGATGCCAGCCAAAAGGCATACTGTGCGGTCGTATATTTTGTGACAGAGCTAAACGGTGCCTACCACGTAGAGTTGCTTACGTCGAAAACAAGGATAGCGCCAATAAAATTGCAGACAACTCCCGGATTAGAAGTGATGTCAGCTGGAATATTAGCATAGTTGATGGACACAGTGAAGTTGGCCTTAGAAGGTTACGTTCAATTTAATGGTACATACTATTGGTTGGACAGTATGACTGCATTGTGCTAGATTGGTAATAGGGGAGAATGGAAACAGTTTGTGCGCCATAGAGTTAACGAGATTTTAAGATTGAGCAGGAAGGATGACTGGAAACATTGTCCGGTGTAGACAACCCAGCGGATTAGGTTTAAGGGGAATTACGACATCACAATTAAAGGAAAGTGAACTTTAGTGGAAGGGACTGAAGTGGCTGTCAGGTCCCCATTGTGATTGGCCAATGCCAAAAGAGGTTAAAACTACAGAGGAAAGTCTTGCGGAAGTCGAGAAGACAGTATTGGCTAACACACAGGTAGTAGATAAAGATTGTGTGATAAAATTTGGCAAATTTAGTAATATAAAGAGACTAATAAGTGTCATAGCTATCATTGTGCGTTTGTAGACAATTTGAAGGCAAGAGTTAAACTCGGGACAAAGAGGACTAAAACATTGGAAGTGTCAGATTTAGAGCTAGAAGCTAGAGAACCAATTTTATTGCCTAAGGATCATCACTTAACCGATTTATTATTGAAAGATTGCCACAGGAAGGTTCATCATAGTGGGGTAAGAGCGACTTTTGTTCAGCTACGAGGCAAATAATGGGAAACAAAGTAGAGAGATCGTGAAGAAGGTGTTAGGAAATTGCAGGATTTGTAGAAGACATCAAGGAGAGGCTTATAAAGCACGAGTGCAAGCAGATTTAGCAGATTTTAGAGTTCAGTATTCACCACCCTTTTCTAAAGTAGGAGTATATTTTGCTGCTGGTCTATTGTTTTCAAAAGAAGGTGGACAGATGGTAAAAGTATACTTCGCACTATTTTCCTGCTGTGTTACAAGAACAGTTTGTCTTGATTTAGTTGATAGTTTAAGTGCACTTTGTTTTTTGAATTGTATGCAAAGATTTACTGCTAGAATGTGAGCACCCTCGCTAATAGTTTGGGACGACGCCAAAACATTTAAAGCAACTGAGAAAGCGTTGAAGGGGATTTATGAAATTAAGGTAGCAAAGTCATTTTTGGAAGGAAATCGGTTGATATGGAAGTTTAATTTGGCGAGGACACCCTGGTGGGGTGGATTTTTTGAAAGAATGGTAGCATTGGTGAAATGCTGTCTGAGGAAGGTGTTGGGTAGCACTAAATTGAACGAGAAAGAATTGTTAACAACATTAGTTGAGGTTTAACGTACGTTAAACTCTAGAGTAGTCTAGACCATTGACTTATGTATATGAAGATGAAGTGAATGTAGATGTACTGACTCCTGCACATCTTATGTTTGGAAGAAGATTAACATCTATTCCAGACAAAAGAATTATGCATACTATTAATGACGAAGATTCAGGAGTGGTCAAGCGTAGGTTTAGGTATTTAGCAAGATTGAGAAAGCATTTTTTGTCCAGGTGGAGGAAGGAATATTTAACAAGTGTAAGGAAGTGTCATAAGGCTGGCAAAGTAAAGGGTATTTTGTGTCCGAAAGTAGGTGATGTAGTTCTTGTGTTTGAGGAAAGTTTGAAAAGAGGATTTGGGAAAATGCAAGAATTGAGAGATTGATCAAGGGAAAAGATAATATAGTCTGAGCAGCGCAAGTCAAAGTTTTTAGCCAGGAAAGCCACTGCACATAAGCAAGCCTCTTCACAAACTGTATCCACTAGAGATGAATGCAAGGGTAAGTAAAGAAAATGTCAGCGTCCTACATGTAGAAAATACAATCATGCTATTCTTCCTCCCAATACTTTTGAACAGGTTTTACTGTTTTCCTACCATGCAGCTTATAGTCAATAGTTAAAAAGTTGGTATATCAATTTAGATATGATTTCTCATGCATGTTTATCCATACTTCATCTATAGATGTTTCTTTAGCTAATTTGTTAAGTCCGTAATGTGGATATAAATGTCGCTTTACTTTTGTAAAATTACCTTTGTTGTAGAAGTAAGACTTTATATCTGACGACCTCGACGTCGAAATTAAGCTTGCTTCAGTTCTTTACATGTCACATACCTAACAAAGGATGAGAGATTTATTAAAAAGAACGCGACCACATACATATCAGTTTAAAATGGTGATCATAATTCATACCTTATTGTTACATCAATCTTTATCCATGTAAGTTTTGTTACATAAACACATTTAAATAGCGAAGATGAAGAGTGAGTCAGGATCTCCTTTAACAAACAGTATTATAAAACATTAATGACGCCTATGTAGAACATTCTAGTTATATAACTAAGTATACATCACTGACTAAAAACAATTGTTATAGAAGTAAAAATACATAAATAAGAACCTCATGCAGAGTACATAATAACATTGAGATTAGTCAAATTCCAAAGGACTACTGCTAAATCTTATAAAGTTTCACAAGTTTTAACTCAGGAATAGAGAATCATCTTTCTAAGACAAGATTTGAATGCCAATGATTAAGACACGATTTTCGCAACTGTGAATGGAGTTTTTTCCATCATTAATGAAAAATTCCATACATGTATATTCTTGCATAAGTCAGTTCTTACTATAAAAATCCTTTGTTATTTAATAAACCATTGTAAATTATGAATACGTGGCAAACATCAACTGCACGCAATTATATTTACTTATGATCAATAAAGAAACTGTGGATACAACAGTAAAGGTTGCAATGAAAGTAAACCTTAAAACTGTTAAACATGGCCTAAACTATATTTTTAAAAGCTCACTTTGTTGCATGAATGAACATTTCCCAAAAATAGATTCGGTTGCGTCTTTCTCTGTGTAAACACATTCTTCCTGTGTTCAACATTTGCTTATATTACAAATGTTCTAAGTTTTAAAATGAATGGTTAGCTTTATACAATTAACAGCATTTTGTTAGACACACAGCGATTAGTCAAAAGTGGCGTCGGCAAAAAATGGAGGTGATGCATGATTGGACATGCTATCCTCCTACATAAATTTTCACAGATTCCCCTTATATCCATAGACAAGTATGCTATTTCATCTCGCCTACCTTTGAACAGGTTTTGCTTTCCTTTACAATGCAGCTTATTGTCAATAGTTAGAAAGTTGGTATATCAATTTAGATATGATTTCTCATGCATGTTTAGTGATACTTTATCGAGATGCTGCTTTAGCTAATTTGTTATGTCATTAGTGTAGTTCTAAAATATCGCTTAATTTTCTAAAATTACTTTCTTTCTAAAGTAAGACGACATTGTGAACAAAATTATGCTTGCTTTAGTTCTTTCATGTCACATACTCAACAAACAGATGAGAGATTTAATATAAACAACGCGACCGCATACATATTAGTTAAAAATGGTGATCATAGTTCATGCCTTATAGTAACATTAGCGTCAACAGAAATTAAATGAAGATATGATCTTCGCACTTTGCCGGACAATTTAAGCAAACACCGCACTGCATAAAACATTCATATTAGCGTCAACAGCTCGACGAAAGATAATTGCAAAGTTACAAAACGACTAAATGTTTAAAAAAATCCGACTAAATATTTCAATTATCAATGATGGCATGCATCAGTCCATTTGCAATTTTAAACTTAATTTTCCTCCAGATTCATAAATGTCACTTCATACTATCACAAGTATAATAAAATAACACATATTTTATAAATATACCGTCCGGACCAAAGATGAATATAATTGCATGCTAGCAAGCAATTTGAATTTCTTGGCAAACAAACACATCACGATAAACAGGCCTTCCTTTCGATGGCAGTAATTATTTTTCGTAAGTAAATTGTTTGTATTTTGCAACTTCGTTTGATTGGTATACAATTACAGGATTACAAATTGCTACGGGTATCTATGATGTATATTTCATAGTACTAGGGTGTGACTAATATTTAGTAAAAATATATTAATTAAATATGACAAACATTTTGTATTTAAGGTCACATTTATACATCGTAAACACACATGATAATTCTTTATCTTTTGTCTTACAAACCTTTTGCTGGTCGACGGTTGGGACTTTGAACATTCAATCTTTCAGATAAATTCAACGTTCTGAAGAGTTAAGCGTCAAATGTCTGCGTCGCTTGAGTGGATACGGGGCAAATAATTTGGGCCTTTATTGTTATGTAAAACAAAGACAAAGAATAGATTACGTTATCTATTCTGTGACGACAGTATCACTGTTCAATATACGTTGAAATTTGATGAAAGATAGGACAACTTCTTCTTACAAAGTTTCATTTTATCGTTAGAAAGTACAATATTTAATCAGCTTTGAGGCAAACGTTTGCTTTCTCAGTAAAACAATGCCGAAAATGATTTCCGATAAATTGGTATTAATTGGCATCGGGTCGTCGGAATGGTCGTCGGTTACAAACAATGATGACGTTTCTACCTTTGACTGATGGAAACATGCAAACTAGTCAATATTCAGTATGGCGTTTGAACGAATTCATTTTATTCCTATTGTCATTGAAGACAACCCAAACGGCTGGGGTCCTACCTCTGTTTCAGATGCTTTTAAAGGAATACCTTATCAACCAGTCTCTAAAGGAGATAAACTTGGCAAGGTAAAATATTTTATATTTCATAAGAAATTCCTTGCTATCAATATCTTCCACTCTGACCTTTAGTTGTTCTTATATTTTTGTGTCACGTGGTGAAATTTATAATCATATTTTACTAGCTATTATTGTAAAACATTGTTATGTAGTCATCATTAAAAAACCTAACTACACTTTTAAGAGGATAAAATATTATTTTTTGTGTTGACTGTATAAATACAGGTCTTATAACATACATTTTCATTTTATGTAGGTTTCTGATTGGTCAAGTACAGTTTATCAAGATCGTTGATACCAAAGTTTGTATTCTGTCCAGACTTCACTATTTTCATGCAGTTTAATCATATTGTTTTACTTCTATAGATAAATACTTAAATCAATTTGGTGGTGGTAATCAATATGCATATTATCACGAAGAAGATGAATCAACTTTCCATCTTGTTGACACAAGTCGACCACAAAAGCCTGTTTACATGCACAATAGGAACAAATTCAATCAGGTACAATAGAAACTTTTCTATACTTTTAAGTCTCAAAATAAAATCACTTCTTTATTATATTTGTAAATATCTTCATCTAAATGACTCCTTTTCATATGAACAACATTAACATAAAATTTTTTTTTTTTTTTAGAGAAATAATCGACGTGATAAAGAGCGTCAAATGCAGCATCAGCAAGCTGGGATGCAGAATTTGTTGAAGACTCGTGACAACAGACTCCATCATAAATTGCAGAAACACTTTGCCAACAGAAACAACTGCAAGAATGAAGAAATCAGGTTTGTAATAAACTTAGTTGAGGGGGGGGGAGGGTAGTTTTTAAGGTGCAACTTCAGTGAAGAAAGTGGACAAAAGAATTGTGATAGTGTGTTACATGTATGTAAACTTTGAACTCCAAAGGATACATTATAAAGTTATAGTAATTATGCGACTTGCATAAGATATTGTGGTACACAAACGGATGTACCTCAACCATGAACACCTCGGAGGATACATAATAAATATGTAGTAACGTGACAGGTACACTTATGGATATACTGTAATTTTATATCTACATATTTAACTTATATGTAGACTCCTCAGAGGATACATAATAAATGTATAGTAACATGACAGGTACACTTATGGATATACTGTAATTTTCTATCAATATGTTTAACTTATATGTAGACTCCTCAGAGGATACGTAATGCGTCTGTGATGGTTCGGGAAGAGTGGAAGGTTATCGAAGAAATGGATTTTACAAGATTATCAAAATTGAGTCTACCAAATGTTCTTGATCCAGATGATTTGTATGTTGTATCAGAATTCATTGTTGTATAAAACCTTCTTTGAATTTGCTAAACAAATGAAAGCAATTTTAACATCTATTCTGAATAGATACTAATGAATATCTTGTTTTTATGTGTTTATGAAGATCTCTCCATTTCTGTGCTTTGTTAAATAGGGTAAAATGTGGTGAACTGGAATATTATGACAAGGCTTATGATCGTGTCAACATTAAGAATGAAGTCCCACTTGCCTTGCAAAACAGGATTTTCCATAAAGTCACAACGACTGATGATCCTGTTATCAGAAATGTAAGAAAACATTACTTGCTTTCATTGAATTAAATGGTTTGGATAACCATCATAATGTTAACCACCAATGATAACCACCAATGATAACCACCAATGATAACCACCAATGATAACCACCAATGTTAACCACAAATGTTAACCACAAATGTTAACCATCAATCATGACCAGTTATTAACCACCAATCATGACCAGTTATTAACCACCAATCATGACCAGTTATTAACCACCAATCATGACCAGTTATTAACCATCAATCATGACCAGTTATTAACCACCAATCATGACAAGTTATTAACCACCAATCATGACAAGTTACTAACCACCGATCATGACCAGTTATTAACCACCAATCATGACCAGTTAGTTATTAACCACTAATAATAACGAAGAATTATAAGCGTATGCATATTACAAATGAATTGTAGGAACGAAATATAAAACTATGTACTTTATTGAAAAATTTAATTGTTCAATTTACTTTGATTTTACCAGATTTTAATGAAAGGAAATGTGTTTGCTACGGATACCATTATATCTACATTGATGACCTGTACAAGATCTGTGTACTCTTGGGACATTATAGCACATGTATGGATAGTATTTTTGTGAGAATTATCAATATACTATTAGTGATATTTATAACTATAAATTAAGTATTTATTTCATGTGATTTTAGCGTGTTGGCTCAAAACTATTTTTTGACATGAGAGATGAATCAGCATTTGGTTTGTAAATTTTTTGTTTTAATTGATAATTTAAGAAACAACAAGCTGTTTTTTTATTATTGATCTATGTTTTTTAGATCTTTTGACTGTTAATGAAACAGCTGTGGAAACACCGATAGATGATAATGCAGAGAAAAGCATAAATTCTATGACGAACCTTGGTCTGGAAGCAACTTTTATAAACCAAAATTTCTCACAGCAAGTCTTAAAACGCTCAGAGGAAAAGGAGAAGTTTGATAAACCAAATCCTTTCATTGCTGAAGATAATGAAGAAGAAGAAAAGGTGGCATCCGTT